GGCCCCAAAAGGAATGACCGTAAGGACGAGGCAGGAATCACTAACCGATTGGAACTGGAATCCCGGAATCTGGTATACCGAGAGTGCAGAGAGAGTCATGAGGAAGGTAGACAGCATCACGAAGTACAAAAAGAACACGACACCGTGCTCAAATCCACTGATAACACCAATACCAATCATTGCAAAAATACCGCCAACGAAGGCAACTGCCAGTCCGGCCACAAATCGGGTAAGCACGAACATACTCATGGCCGGGAAAGCCATGGCGTTAAGGTAGTAGTTTCCTCCAGAACTGATCCAGCCGCCGAATCCACCACAGAGGATAAGAGCGATCATCAATGCGAGTGTCGCCAACGACTTATCGATGTTACTCATGAATGTGGTAAGGTAAAGACCTCGGCCGACGGTCGTGAGCATGACGATATCGATTAGGGCTGGAACGGCGAAGATGCCCAGGAATGTGAATTGATAGAATACCGATGGTCTTTCTTGCTCACCCTTCGGATCTAAGTCAATGTCCATGGATGAATACGCTGTTGGGAGCTCAGTGAACATATCGTCCCGGCGAGGGGGTTGGTGGACATCGTAGTATGCACGGTACCGGGTGGCGAGGATCTTTCCGAGAAGTATCGGGGCCATATCGAAGTACATATCGCAGCGTGCACCCACCGCGTACATCTCTGCGAAACAAGAGGCCTGAAGCATGTCATTGTTGGGCAAGGGGTTCCGGTCGAGGACTTCCAGATAGACTTCATTGAGGGCGAGCTTGCGGAATGCACAAAAGACGGACAAAGCAAACAAGTCGGCAGCAGCATCGATTTGATCCGTTCGCAAAACGGTATGAGCGACGGTAGCGAGCTGGGTCAGAATCTGAAGCTCCCCATTGATAAGGATTGCCGGTAGCCGGGCATCGACCTCCTTGAAAAGAGCTACAGCGACCGTAGAATCAGGGCACCAGCATCCTTGTTCCCGATACCATGCAAGCCGTGAATGAACCAGGTCCTCAGCGGAGATCTCGCCGCCCAGATACGCAGTAGAGCTCAAAGCTCTGAGCTGGGCCAGAGACGGAGCCTCCACGAGTTGGTATTCACAAAAAGCGCGTACTTTCTGAGACAATGACGAAGACTTCGAACATTCAGAAGTTGTAACACGGCGCAGAAATAAGATTGCCTCAGCAGGTGTAAGTTGTTCGATGTCGTGCATAATGCGTGGTGGCAACCCCCAGGTCTCTGACAGACTTCCGGTCTGTGTTGCTAGCGCGACCTCGGCCATCAGACATTCAAACCTCGAGTATCCCCTACTGGACATGAAAGTGTGTAGGAGGGTGCTAGTACGGTCCTGTACCTTCGCCGAGAGATAGACATTGAGGTTGAGAGTACCGGAAGCGGTATCGACATCATACAAACCCCAGACCTGTGTTTCCAGGCGCGTGCGAAATCCTGAATGTAATCCCACATAGACTTTGAGGGTATCAGTTTCACGACCATTGCAAGAGCTGAGAATACTAAGCAATTCTTTCACGGCGTTGAACACCTGGGAAGGTGCCGTTGTTGCTTTTTGGAGAGCACGCAATTGTCCAGCGATACCGTGGAGTTCCTCTAGCTTGACACGTTCAAGGAGACCAAGATCTCTGACATGTCGCTGGGCATCAACTAAATCGGTAATGTCTCGAGATGTGCAGTCGAGTCCGAGTTGGAAGCATCCCAGCCCCGTATAGTCGGCACCAGCGGGAGAAACAGAGAAAGAGTTCGTTGTAGATTCCTGCTGCGATGGCCAATAGAGCTCGTCGATTACTGTCTCTTGACTATCGGCTGGAAGTTCCCAAGCCGGCGACAACGATAGTTTTGCCGGCAGATCGGGTATGAAGGAATGTAAAGACTCGTACAGAGAGTCATGATCGCAGGGGTTTTGACAGACCTGTTACTGAATGTCAGCTTGTTCACTTTCCAGGCTTTAAGTTGATAATCTCACCTTTCCGTTGGACCTCCACACATTATGCGCTTCGGTGACCTCGTTGCCCTTCATCCACATCAGGGCCCCGAGCGGCTCCTCAGTTATAGTCTTTGCGGTCGCAATCGTCGCGTCGGTCAATGCGTCACGCGGCGCAATCCAGCACATTGCACTCCTGTAGTTGCACCATTTGAATGTCCGGTGAATAACATCGTGCGGTAACTCCGCTCCATTGTCGATCGTCTCCCACATCGCGACCGTGGTGCCACCCATAGACTTTTGAGAGGCGATAGCGCGCATAGCTGTTCGCATTTCAGTCATCTGGAAGTAGTTGCGGCTGCTACCATCAGGCGAGATAGTGGCGTTACGATAGATAAAGCCCCTGATGGGCAGCATATCGATCTCGCGACATTGTCGTTCGGTAATATAAGCTGGTGGCGAAAGCTCGAGCCAGACATCGAGCCCGAGCTGGTTTATATAGTTTACCAATCTGTTCAATACCACGGGTTGGAAGTGGGCGAGAAAATCAGCCAGAAGAACTCCATTGAATGGCGACTGTGCACCCTGGGACTGCTTGAAATTTGTTTGCAATGCCTGGGCAACAGCCTCCAAAGCCTGAATCACCTCATCGTTATCCGAAGCGCGCTCGGAGTTCGCCAGCGCCCGCACTTCCAGTCGTCCTAAGGTATAGGAAGCTGTCGGCTGGCCTGATAGAGAACTCAGAACACCCTCTTGCGCAGGGTCGAGAACAGTGATATCCCACTGTTGCAGCAACTGCGTCTGGTCAGGAGTTGGTGGGTTCGATAGACTGCCGAGGAAGACGCCGAATGATTGAAGCTCTTTTCCTGCATATCTCTCGGTCGAGAGTGGCTGTGCCTCTTTTGATAGGCGATCGAGACACCGCGAAATAACCGTGGGTACCTCGGATAGCTGATCCCTTTTCTATTACGATGTTAACAGGATCCAGTGCCGGGTGAGTACCTCGTATTGGGGACAACAGATACGTACACGCCAAGTCTTGCGGATGTGCCGCCTTCCGACAAGGAAGAGAATATATAGGCCCCCAATTACAATGGTAGCCAGCAAACAAGCGGCGAGAACCTAGTTATTTCAGTCAGTAAGCCATGTTAGGGCTGAGGCATCACATGACGGGGGGTTTTACCTGAGACCACCAGGTCTTCACCATCGCATGCCATCCTACCGCATCCAGGCCCAAGTAGTTTGCGCCCATGGCGAAACGGGCGCACCGAACCAAACGCGCGAATAGAAAAGAACTTAATGACAGGCACTACACATTCCGGAGCGGGGATCCGTGGCGTTTTATTTGAATGACTTGACGGCGACACTGACCGACAAGCTCGTCCCTTACTTGAACCGTTGTGGGAGTTGGATTCTTAATGAGACCTACATACGCTGTATATGTACTTTATGGGCAGCTGAGACTTCAGGAACCCAGCACAGCAGGTGGGGAATCCGAAGCCGAACCAATTTTCTTGCTCTGCCGATCCATGTTCTCAGATACTCACCATCATATTGGTGGCAGTGGAGAATGGCGCTAACAAGGGCTGAATGCAAGTCTCACTAGGTCGGGTTGAGGCTAGTCCACCACCACTACTGTTACTATTGAAGTTCTGGATGGCGACTTGGTACCTGACAAGAATGACACTATCATTGTGGTCCCACGGCTCTTGCTTTGGTGCTCCTCCTTGTTAATTTCTTAGCTGTTCGCCGACACGCCAACCACAGCCCACCCATTGAACGGCAAAAATAGTAACGGTGATAGGAAATTAAATAAAAAAAAAATAAAAACAAAAATAAAGAAAATTAAAAATCAAAACACATTACATTATCACCGTGCATGCTGAGTCACGTATCGTTCGGAGAGACTTTCTCTTTTCTCGAATTGGACTGTCTAATTTGCAATTGCTCTACCACTTCCAAGACCCTTCAGGGGATATCAGGGCTGGTGCACGGATGGCTGGCCGACCTGTTGCCCTACATGCGATAGTGGCTCTCTTTGCAAAACCGATTGTACTTTCTGAGACAATCTGAGAAAACCCCACTGTTCTGATACTCTTCAGAAATATTCTACAAGTCTACGTTCAAATATACACCTCAGATCCACGGTTATGAGGGAAAGTTCCTATTTCTCGGCTGTCTCCACCACGAGAAAGAACGGATGCTGACCGATCTAAAGAAATAGATCCGAACCGGACTCGGCTAGCATGTGCTGATCATTTCCACAACTTGGCTTTGGATCTAAACTCCACGAGAACTTGAACAGACCGGTCTCTGCTTCGGGCAGCAGCCGAGATTCTGTCTCGTTGAAGTCTCCAGCCAAAGCTCCATCACGCCGACTGATGATTTGAGTACTATTGAAGTAGTCGGCGGATCCTCCCCGATCGCAGCTAGGGAAAGCACAATCTAAAGATGCGATTCAGCGGCCTCGCACCTTCCACCATAAGGTCGGTTATGTTGTTCTATGTGGGACATGATTCAGATGGTCATCTGGCTTGAGGGTAGTATGTGATAGTCACCCGCGATCCCGGGTGCAAGGTACGGCAACCGAGAGCGACGTTGCCGATAGTTTGACGCTATTGAAAAAG